GAACTATAGACAGAATGTGTAAGTCCTAACCTTCTCCCAAATATGGAAAAACCTCATTGGATGCGTTTGTGTCTTCCTTTCAGTTTCACACAAATCCTATTTATAACCTCAGTGCCTTGCTTGTTTCCTTGGATTTCTTGCTCTGTTAGTTCTTCCTTCTGTCCTGTCATAAAGCTTTTTCTCTCCATTAACTGTTTTCTCCTTACTATCTAAACACACTGATGTCTGCAATAGGTGAAAAGAAAATATAAATCTTTGTGCATAATATCTATAACTACTGTAATAGTTCCTATTATCATGACAGCCATCATTTTGAGCTATGTGCCAAGCACTTGATAAATGTAATTGTAAAGCGTCTCAAAAATACCACAGATGGAAATTACTACCCTTGTTTCAAAAAGACAAGAAAACTGATACTTAAGAAAAATAATTTACCCAAGGTCAAACGGAGGTGGAACTATTCATGCTGTCTGAATAAACAAAACCGACCACACTGCCTCTACCCAGAGATAATTTTCATTGCTGATCAAAATTATGAGTCATAGCAAGTCCTTGTTCCTCCTTGACATGTTTCATTTTTCTTCAACTCGCTGCCATCTGGGTCATGCTCCTGCCCTCCCAGGAAGGACCACAGTGACCTTCTCATTTTCCGTCTTGCTTCACATGTCAAAGAATTTGTCACAAACCACTGTCCCTCTTTAGCCTCATTCCTTTCACTTAGGTTTGTCCTCTCTTGCCTGTTTTCTCAGTCTCCTCTGACAACCTCTTTTGCTCCAGCTCTGTCTTAAGTATTGAAGTTCTTTTAGGTCCTGACCCAGGTACTCTTCTGATCTCATTCAGGTGCTTCATGGGTAAGGTCATTCCACACAGGCCCTGAAATAGGACTGGAAGACCTAGCATATTCAGATCTTTCCCCCTATTCCAAAGCTCTCCTGAGTCCAGGTCTGTGGTATATGATGGCCACCAAGCTGGCATCAGTGGGGCATCACATAGGCATTATATTAGTTAGCTTAGCTGCTGCAACAAAATACGACAAACTGGAGACTTACACAGTAGATATTTAGTTCTTGGTATCATAGAGACTGTGTCCAAGACCAGTGTGCCTCAGAGGCTGTCCAGGAAAGACCCTTTTCTTGTTTCACATATAACTGCCTTCTTGCTGTATTGTCACATGACACAGAGAGAGCACTGCTGTCTTCCTCCTCTTTCAAAGACCCTCGCACTGCCAGGAAGTCCTCCATGTTGACCTCATCTAAGTAAAACCATCTCCCAAAGGCTTCATTTCCAAATACCATCATACTGGAGGTCAGGGGTTCAGTGGAGTTTGGGGGGACACAAGCATTCAGCCCATAGCCTCCTGTGCCAAACTAAACTAAAATGCCAATTCCTACCTCCACTAGGTCATGCAATTCATTACCCAAGACTCTACTACTACCGAAATCATGCACACCAACATTCACTGATGGAAAATTTTTTATCCTTCCACTCATTCTATACTTTTTAATTTTTCATTTGTTTGTTGGCTTGTTTTTCTCCTGGCAGTACTAGGGACTGAATCCAGAGACTTCACGCTGTTCTGTACCCTCAGCCACCTTTTAAAATTTAGAAACAGTATCTCACCAAGTCACTAAATTCCCTGGGCTGAGTGAGATAAACTGTTTAGAACCCGAATTCACTCTCTAACTTCTCTCTCTACCCTCTGCTACTCCCTCCCATCCCGGCTAACCCAGAGCAATCCAATTTCCTGTCCCTTCCATTCTTACACACAGGCTGCAGAGCCCAACAGCTGGGGCTGCCCCAGCTGGTTTCCAGTGCCCAGACTCAGGTTGACTTCCCAGTAGTCGTTCTGTTCCAGTTCACTGTCACATACTTGCTCCTAGTTTTCCCTGGCAGTGTACTCACATTTGTCCTTTCAGGCCCTTTCATCTGTACCCCTTCATGCTAAGCAGATAACCTGGTGTTCTACTTGAAAAGAGAATAGAGGCTCCCAGATACAATCTGATGAGTTCTATGGATTGCTCACTTGGAAACTGCTCTAAGGTTGCAAACTGGACTCTGAAGACAGCTGCCCAGGCTGTCACTTGAGGTCCTCATACACAGTGACTTAGGGAGACTATCTGACCTCAGTTTTACTCTTTATAAAATTAGGAATAGCTGCTATGCCATGGGGCTCTTTTGATGACTTAAAGTGCTTTGACAAGGAGTAAGATATCGGCAATTATTTTGGAAAATATCTATCTTACTTTTCTCATTGCTGAGACAAAATACCTGGTGCCCTAAGTTAAAGGAGGAAAGGTTTATTTGGATCAGAGTTTGTGGAAGTTTCAGTCCACAGTTGGATGGCTCCAAGGCAGGATGGCACAGCAGATGGGGCATCTCAGAGAAGAAGCAGTTCAAGGTGGGCAGAAGGCAGCTAGCAGCAGAGTAGCAAGCAAGCAGCAGCACAACAGCTCTCTTTCTGTCCCTTACATTCTGTCCCTTAGGGAGGGCAGCAGTCCCACCCAGAGCAGGGCATGCATAATCCTAGCATCACATGATGAAGCAGCCCAAACATCATGTCCTCAATCACACATGCTAGATGCAGCCACCTTCATAAAGCCCTGCCTAGGACTGCATGAGGTTTTTGGAAGACCTCTAGATAAAACCATATCAACATATTATAGTCGTATATATTCTTTAGCCACTATACCCGCTGGGCCATGTGGGCCATATGTTCTGACACTGTATTATAGCTTACTGCTTACTAGGCAGTGTCAGGCTAAACAGAACATAGAGTTTTTAAAATTACAGCCATGTCTTAATAGTCTTGATCCACCCAAACCTACTTGGTGCAACTATTGCATAGTAAGTAAGGAATATGCTGAACTAAGTGTATTTACAAATAGCAAACAGCACAGTTTTTGCCTCTGGTACTGTGCATCTACTAAACTCTTACTCTTAGTACTTGACATGTATTCACTTCATACAACTGCTGAGTAAAGAAGGAGTTACTGTTCTTATTTCACTGAAGATGAAAGCACAGACGGGCTGCATTATTTGCTTGTGGTAGGTGGCTAGTGAGCTGACCCTAGGCTGTGTGACCCAGATGTTTTATTTTTTATCATGTGGCTGAGAAGTTTCCAGGTTAAAGATACAGAAAGAGAGAGAGAGAGAAAGAGAGAGGGAGGGAGGGAGAGAGAGAGAGAGAGAGAAAAGACACAATGTCCAAGGAACCCCTTGTGAGGCAGCAGCAAGAAGCCCCAGAGGAGGAGCCACTTACAAGGCTGTTTCTCCTGCACGACAGTACCTGTCTACCTCACACAGAATAGATTGGTTATAATAGGTCCCCACCAATGTAATGTGTCCATCATCTCTCTGCATGTCACAGCCAAAGAGTATCCAGGACATGTGGAGAGGCTGACAGACACACCAGGACAGAAAGCCCACAGAATAGATTTCCCCTGCCCACCTTACCTTACCAAATGCAGGTTCGGTGCAGTGTGGCTGCCTGTAGCCTGTCCCTTCCAAGCAGGACCCACAGAGACTTAGAGGCTACAGAGTCTTGAGGAACCAGAGACTTCCTGAGTTCGATTAGCTGTACTGTGGTAATCCCTGTCTTTCCACCTCCTGTCTGTGCATTTCTATACAAGTGTTGTCTGCTTCACCTTCAGCCAAGATGGGTTTTATAACTAAAGATCTTTCACCTTCCACCCCAGTTGAGGCTCTCTTGTTTCCTCCCCCAGGCTCTAGCTGATAGAATTGGTGTTGGCTGCTCTTTGGTTCGAGGAGAGTATGGCCGTGCATGGAATGAGGTGAAGCTGCTGGACCTGTCTCGGAAGGGGGTGACCGGGCGCCTCCCTGCACCAGACACCTACATTATTGACCTCATGTTCAATCCTGGGGAACTTTTAAAGCTAGGAAGCAAAGAGGCCAATATGTACCAATTTATCTAAATTAAGTCTTCCAGGCATTTAATTATGCCTTTAAATAAAAGTATTAGATGTGTTCAACCTGTATTTGCTTCTGATTTCAGACTTGTGGCATGAGTTCAGGGTTTTGTTGGGTCTTTCTGGTCACTGCCTGTCGCAGGGATGAAGGTTACTATGGCTGAAACCAACCCAAACCACTTCTCTTGAATCTTGCACACATAGGAATCTTGTGTGCAACACTCACCTGTGGCTGCAGGACAGTCCTGTGGCCTTGTCGCTGTCCTCCTTCATGCACACAATGCTTTAGGAACACTTGGCTAAATAAACTCAGTGTGTTTTTCATGTCTTCAATTGCCTGAGTAAGGTTTCGGCAGTTTAATATTTATAGCTCTATGTGAGTATTGCAGATTCCTTTCTAACATTTCTTTTGTTCATGCTTAAAGTTACCATTAAGAACACTGCTTAAATATCCTTCTTGGGCAAGAGATTCGATCCCTGGACCTGCTGTGCCAACCCCACTACCAGGGCATGCTGAGAGGCAAATGAGACTGGGCGTGGTGGTGCACGCCTGTAATCCCAGCTCTTGGCGAGGCTGAAAACAGGCGGATCACTACAAGTCCGATCTAGTAGTGAGACCCTGAACACCCGGTAGACCCTTCCCTAAAATACAAAAGATAAATAAATAAATACCCTTCTCTAAATTAAAAATAGTTCTAGGCAGCCATGTGTGCTGGTGCACACCTGTAATCCCTCCTGCTCAGCAGGCTGAAGCAGAAGGATTGCAAGTTGTCTGGGCAGCTTAGCAAGCAAGACCCAAAGGTCTGGGGATGTCGCTCAGTGCAAAGCCTTGAGTTCAGTAACTAGTCACACACACGCACACACACACACACACACACACACACACACACACGGAGATGGGTGTAGGTCAGTGGTAAAGCACTTCTCAAGCATGCATAAGGCCCTGGGTTTGACATCAGCACCACAAAGAAACCAAAAAGTACTAAAAAAATATTTCCTGAGAAGGCCTTTGTTTTCAGTACATTAACTTGAAAATAGACCAGTTAAAAAGGCTTTTTATTTGCTCTTACACTTTTAATACTGGGTCAACAAAATACAGTTTTTTAAAAATTTTTAATAGATTGCAAATTGAAAATGAATTATTTACAAACATAACTGAATATAACAATAAAAACTGCTCAAAATAAAAATGAAGAAAGAATTTACAGATCAGTCATAATAGTTCACTGTGTCAAAACCAAGAAACTTATATAATTAGAATTCTCAAAGTAGAAAGGAGTAGG